TTCTTCGAACATTTTCACGAACACACAAAATTAAACTATAAATATTTATAATCAGTTTTTAAGTTTAGCTATACGCGAACCTACGCGAACATACACACATATTTTTTAGTTGTTCGTCCTTTTGTTACACTACTTTGGACGTGGCTTTTGATACATGTACGGTTTATTAAAATATTGGAAAATACTGAGTCTTGATTTAATGGCAATCGTTATTACTTTTGAGGAATTTTCTAGAGAAATGTTGAAACTTTCTATATATGGATTTTTAAATATTTTTAATTTCTTAAATATAATGAAGTTGGCAATTTCTTCCAGATGCCCCACCCTTTCTAAAACTTAAATAACGGTCGTGTGTGTGTGTATCTCCAGCCGATTACCGATTTTGCATAAGTACGTCATACGATTGCCTGGGTGTTATAACAATGACGGTCGTTCAACCGTTTGATTTTAAGATTTTCGGTCAGGGCCAGATCAAAGGGGATTTTTAGGGAAGTTATAGCTCCCGGGCCGCAAGCTTAAATGGGTCAGAATTTGTTTTCTAATCGTTATATATGTGTATTTTTAAACATATAAATAATTAGTTTATATTTAGATATAAATAAATAAATGAACGCGTAGCCTAGAGTATTATTATAAGTGTAATTTATGACTAGTATCGAATTCAAATTCATCATAAGATACATATATACGAAGTCAATAAAATCGTTTTTAATATTAACCATTTACTAATTTTTATTTTATTAAGTATAAAGTATCGTTTTATCAATTAATCGTTGTTACAATATAATACCTATACAAATATACTTATTTTAACCGTACTTATTTCAATCAATATTTATTACAATTTACTAAATCTTAGTAAAAAATTTTAATTGATTTTGGTGAAAAGGTCACACCAAATGTAACAGCCCTTACATTATGACCATAATTCATAATTCAGCTTTTCGCGTAGAGAGAAAAAATGAGTGACAAGTACAAGGATAATTTTAAGCCTTCGTGTTCCTTTAAATTCCGAAAAATGGTATAAAATGCATTAAACTTCATCCGTTTGGTGAGAACAGGGTGCACCCAGTAAATTTGATTATTTCTCTTCCATTTTTCATTATTCTGCAAAGAAACAACATGGCAACAACTTGTCTTTCTTCCATAGTGAACATAGGGGGAATTCGTATTCGACAGTGTTCGGATTCAGTTGTGAAATCAAACCTGATACGAACCGAGTGCGTGTGAAGGATTTTCATTCATTTTTGGCGGCTACCGAAAACGAATCGAACCGTATATGCGTGAAGCCAATCTAACCTAGTGCAGGAAATGCCAGTCACGATGGGGTTAAGTTTTCAGGAAATCGGTTAAAAACTTTCATCAAACGTTCTGTGCGCACTGTACGCAGTGCCGACAACAAATTTTGAAACTATCAGTTACCGCATCGAGACGTAGTCGAGTGCGAGTGTGAATTCGCCCAGACAATAGTGCCTATACGAGACTACCAGCTTACACGGGTATTTGTTGAAAAAATACGCGTGCCCAGGAATGTTAATACCGAACAAAGGTACGATATTTCAAATATCGATTAAAAACCCATATCATCGATAATGATGAATATCGTAATTTTAGTATCGATGAAAATCGATATTAGTAAAACCCGAAAAAAAATCCGAAAACCACGTGGTGGCTACGCAGGAGTACGATTCCAGTATCCTCAAAAAAGAAACGCAAACGTCGCCGTTCGCAGGTCGGTGTTTTTGACTGAAATATCTGCTTGTCGCGTGCTAGAGGGAGGGGCAACGTTAAAGCAACGTTAAGTCGCGGAACTCAAACAATGTATTTGATTTGGTTTCAACTTATAATTATTATTGGTAAAAATTAAAAATTAAATTAAAATATTGTTTAAGCATATGCAACCACAATATTATCAAATATTATTAGCGTCATATTGAACGATTTTATCAACAGTGAATATTTAGGTATCAAAATATTTTATCTCTAAACATTTATCGATATTTCGGTACATATATTTATATATTAAACATCGATTTATCGTTGACATTTTTACGTGTGGCTTTTATTTTACATTATTTTATCCTTTTTGTAACGTCATGTTTTCTAATAGAATTGCATACGTTATTGTCATTGCAAATAATATAATATAACAAGGACTCGAACAGTGATTTTTTTGACGTTCGTTATGGTTTCTGACAGTCACTAGATATAATGTTCACCAATGATTGTAAATATAAACTCATCCCTTCCACGTTCGTCTCTTCCCTTAAAATCTCTTTTTTTTCTTTTCGTATACACAATTATGTCATTAGTCAATCACGATAAGCGGAAAAACTACACAGTTGATCCATAAACGTAAATAATAGAAAAAATAAAATAAAAATAAAAATTATAATAACAGTCCAGGAAATAAGGATAAGAATAAATGTAATATTGAAAAATATTGACAGCACACTACTAGGACATGGTTTTTCATGGCCAAGTGAATAAAAATGATTGTACTGTTATACGCGTTTTTATTATTTTATTGTTCTCTTCAAGGGATACATAACATGGTTAATAAAATATAAAATAAATAGATATGATACATTGATTTGAAATGATAAAATCACATTTATTTCCATTAACGTTTGATCGGTATTATTTCCGTAGTACGGTTGAATATTACCTTGGTCGAAATACCATGAAATTTCTTACACTTCATGTGAAGTACAAAATCAAAATCAAAAAGTCACTAGCAGGGAATAGACATTCATGTTTGATTAATGTATTCATTTTCTAACAGTTTTATATTTGTATAAATGTATTAATATTACAGACTCGTTTTATGTGCATGATATTTTTCTTTTCGTAATTTCTGTTTTCACCGAGAAAAATTGAAAACGATCATAGAGTCTCATGATAGTTCATCGTAATAATTAATAACAATAGATGGCCACAGATATCAACCAAAACACTAGAAGTACATGATTACTCAATATATGTTGATATTGAGTACGCATACGTACTATCTATAGTAGATAAATCTGTCTTCATTAAATGGCTTATGTTATTGGATACCAGTGAAGTATGTGCACTAAACAAATTAATTTCATTTTTTCGTATAACTCTGAAAATGCAGTCGAATGAAGAAAAATATGTAATACTTCTATACTACTATTTGTATTTTCTAAAATTATCTATTTATATTTCAAATCCTTTTAAATCCATTGAATAGTATCGTAGATTTTATTTTAAAAATTCCCATTTTTGACCGTGATCAAAACAGCTTAAGACAATATTCTGTAAATTATAGTATTTTTCATATCGTGTAATTTATTATAACAATATGTATTTAAAAAAATAAATTTAAAATTGAAGAACCCACTATGTGAAATAAGTTCGTTGTTATTATATGTTTCAAGTAACCAATTAATGTTTTATTGAAAAAGAAGTCCACTAAAAGGTTAAAGTAAATTACATAATATTTGTAAATATTTCATCTTGCAATTAAAGCTTCATTTTAAAAATACTTCAATCGATTCAATATATATACCAAAACATTTTTAAGCACTCATTAAACTTATAATTTAAATATAAAAAATGAAATATGTTTTAAACATAAATTTACATTTTTAAGAAATAGTGTGATACTAAATTATATGATTTAGCATCTAATTCTTATCAGACGCAAACAAATAATATTTTTCAAATAAAATCTTTCACGTTATGCAAAAATTAATTAAAACCAAATAATTTATTCGCCGGAGACTGACTTTTTAATAAGATTTCATAAATTACTTGTAAAATTAAGTGATAAAGTAACTGGGTTATAGAAAGAAAAAAAGGAAATAATTTTTGAATAACTCGAGTGTTAATAATTGTCTTCTTGCAAAAAATTTGTTTTCCAAGTGAACATTGAACAACTTTATCATTTGTTTTATTTACACTAGGCATATCAAATACGCGGACTGTAGACCACATATGGTCCACGACTAATTTTTTGTAACTCTCTGTTACCAATATCAATAAAAAAAAAAAAAAAAACAAAATTAATGGTAAAAAAATTATAAAATATTAATGTCATGTCACAACTATCTACGATTGTTAGAGAATGTTATATTTAGTATATGTTATTAAATATTATATTCTAATAAACTGTAATTGAGTAAGTTTTATTGATGGTTCTATATATGTAAATATATTATAATATACGATTTTTTTTTCGTTAAATTTTTATGTGCGTAGTTAATAATTCAGTATATTTGGCCCACTTGATACTATGAGATTTACATGTCTGATTTACACAGTCAAGAGGATTTCTAAGTACTCTGAATAAATTTTGCGCTGTATAAATTTCGTAATCGATGAAAACACATAGTATAAGCTATTTATTAATCAATTAATAATATTGAGTCCAAACCCATGTAATATTTTAATAAATAAATAAACATATAAAAATATTTATAAATATGATATTACAAATAAAGAAACGCACGATCAAGGACCGTATTTTGAATAAACTATACCAGTATATAGTTCAATATTCTAGTCGGAATCGGTAATTATTATTTTAGTATAATATGCTAATACATATTATGTTGTTGCACTATGTCAAAATTCTAACCTAGTCATATTGTGTGTAAATTAAGTGCGGATATATTATACATACACAGTTGATCCATTTTCAACTGAAATTGATTAATATTCAAAAATTCCAACAAAAATAAATAAATAAATAAATATAATGTATTGATATTTAAAATACAACATTTAACCTTTTAGGTTGATTTTGTTTGTCAACGGGATCAGAGGGGAACAAAGGTAAAATTATGTGATTTGTAATTCTAAACGAAACAAAATTTAAATGAAATTCGTTGAATCCTTGTTTTAAACTTTTTTTTTCTTTTGATATTTATATTATTGAAATGTAAATCCATTACTAGAAAATAAACTCTTTTATGTATTCTTGGACTGTGGTCACTCATAATTAGTATTGACATTTTAACCTATTATTGCAGGTCCCCCAGTAGAGGTTGGAGTCACCATGTATGTTCTCAGTATAAGCTCCGTGTCCGAAGTACTAATGGTACACAAACCAAATAATAATATATAATATATATATATATATATAAATATTTATATATATTTTTAAACTTTTACATACATTAATCATATGATACGAGAAAATATGATATTTTTTTTAGATTTTTTTAAAGAGTGTTTCTAAATACGTATGTTATACGTATAATATATATTATTCATATATTATATAATATTACCTTGATGTCTTTTTTTCTTTTTTCTATTTTAATTGTTTTTTTTTTTTTTTTTTTATGTTGTGTTCTAAATACGTCCATTTGAACAGACGCTTTCTTTTGCTTATATTTTATTTCAAAATCTAATGTTTTAATGACTGGAAACATGGAAAAGTATTTACTACCTACCCTTTTTTGTTTAGTAGGTCAAATTTACTGTTATTTAATTATAACAATAACTCATTACAGAACTATGAAAGGAACCAAATGACGTTCCCTGCATGCAAATCTGCTGCTTGACAATCAGTGTCCATTTATAATAATTATAGTATATAACTCCAAGAGCCCTATCGTGCAGCTACACACATCAATTGATTATGCAGATAATAAACTCAGATATTATACTTACTAAATATTTTGTATTTTAATCAAAAAATTATGCAATTTTCTAAATATTTGATTATTAGAGAAAAATTGTTCAACTAAAGTAATGTGTACCGATTCGCCGCAGGATAATAAACGTAGCAAAACATAATGTCGATAGTAAAAATGCATCACAAACAATAAACGTAAAAAAAAATATTTTTTATTATTATTTATTTATATCTTATACATGACGTTAATTTAATTTAACTGATATTTTTATGTTTTACATTATATCATCATCGGCAAATAAATTGTAACGAATAAAGAAGTCAATTATTAAAAAACATCATGTAGTATTGGTTTAATAATGATTTAACGATACTTTAAATGTACCTTATTAAAAAATTTCATAACACTCGTATATATAATGAATATAGTTATCACTCGAAAAAAAAGAATCACTTCCAAGTACTCTTTAGTCGTTAAATCGTAATCTAGAGTTATTTATTGTTTTATTATTGTAATCATGAGTGGTGAGGTATTCCGACTATAAATTGTTCACGTTTGGATATATATGTTACTTACAAACATATATTAATTATTTAATAACGTACACGAGGCGTAAAAACAACGGAGGCCATATAGGGGCTCCATTCTTACGTGAATAAACGGGCGGGATACATTTCCACCGAAAGTGTACTTTACCCTTTTCCACCGATACCCGTTTCTATCAAACTATGTTTTGACCGATACTCATTTCCACCACATGATATTTTGACTAATACCCATTTCCACCAAAATAATTTCTGTTACAAAAATCACTAGTTAAACGTATTTAGTACAATATTATGCGTGTTAGGTATTGATATGGTTTTTATCGAACTCTGTAATGAAATTAATTTTGTTGACTTGTTTTAACATTAAAATAAAATACGATAGCAGTCATTTAATAACCCCCCGCCAGTACCAAAAAAATTAAGCATTAACATATCTATACAGCATAATAAATCTATATATTTCAAAATCATAATTTTAACCCAGAACTAAGAAACGAGTTTTCTCATACATTTATATGTACTTTTAAGTTGATTAAATGAGGTAAACCAAAAACAATCTAATAACTTGATGGCATACGACTCTACGAGTATTTCAGTCTATAGATAGTGTAATTTTCATATGTATAAAAAAATAATTCATGTAGTACCTACTTGTAGGTGATATAGAAATTGACTCAGTTAATCAGTCATCAGTCAAAATATAATTTGGTGGAAACGTGTTAAGCTCGAATGGACACAAACACAAATGGACAATACCGACTCGATGGATTTTAGGGTCCGGTGCAGAACTTTGCAAGGCCTTACATTCATTTATTTTATAATTGTATACACTTTTAGATTCTTTAATACGGTCTTAATTTTCGTCGATAATAACAATAAATAACCCTTTTCCGGTGACAATAGAACTATGAGATTATTTATTGATAAAGTAATATTCGTGATTCATAGTATGCGTGACTCGGTATGAACGCACTGTTCTTCTCCTCCAATAGGGCCGGCTTTGCTATGGAAATATCTCATAATCTTAATCTCTTACACAATCAAAAAAAACATAGTCCAGGGTTGTAATCTATATTTTTTATGATATGCTTATGATGATAAAAAAAAAATGTGGTTGATTAAAAGTTTTGTCAAATTATATTTAAAGAACCAGAAATAATAACACTAATGTGTTGTTCTACATTACATTTTACTTTATAATACTGAATGATTCGTTACTATTAATTTATCTAAACAATCGTTGAATATGGAGTAGGTATATATATATAATAACAATATTACATAATATTAGGCACATTATTTTACGTGATCGTAGAGTAATTGAACCAAGAAAAATAATATAATATTCGTAGAGATAATATACAAACACATATTTATTTTTTTTATGTATTATTTTTATTAAACGACAAATGAATATCTGTCAGCATCAATCGTAGTATATGGGAATCGTTATTTTATTTAGTTTACTTATAACATTGGTGTTATGCGATATTATAGCTATCGGCGTCTTTAACACCACAACGTATTTTAAAACGTCGATCGATTTATCATCTTAATCTTCAAGCTTTTGATATTGTAAAAATAAAATGCATTTAATCCGACATTACGATGGTTCACAGTATCGGATTAAAGGTTAAAGACGCAAGACGCAAAAAACGTTTAACGCCACGTACTTGCTCTGCACCCTTCACCACAACTAGCTTATTTATAGATTCTGAACAAAACGAGGATTATATTAGGATTACATATTTTTTGGGAATAAAAGTGGCTGTAAATCTGCACCAACATTTTCAGATAATTTCTCATTATTACAGGTATATCCAAAAATAGGTAGAGATGATACTTAAGTACATTATTTTTTTTACTCATAGTCTAAAATAAAATATTTTGATTTCCCATTTTTATATAACAAAATACTAAAAGGAACTTGGAAAAAATATTTTATTTTATACATAAATCGTTTGTATTTCTTTAGATAGAGTCAGGAAATTTTAATTTTGTGATAAGAAATTCTTATATGTAGAGGTGCTTAAGACTTGTTCTAAATTAATATTTATAGTGCTTTAAATCGGATAATAGTTCAGAAAAAAATTTTTTTTCAATGTTTTTACGGATAACCGCTGTTGTCCAATAAATATTTTAACTATGGTCTATTTTTCAGAAATAAAATGTATATCAAAATACATTTGTATATTACCTAATCAGATGAATACATTTTTTTAAATTTATTGCAATGATTGTTATAGTATAATTATAAAAATCTTATAATAGTGAGCTTTTTGTGAAAACATATTTAGATTAGAATATTATCTACAATTTTATACTTCTGTAATTATAATTTTAATAAAAATGTAAAAAATATTTTTCTATACATGAGTTCAAGTAAAAATTATATGAAAAAAGATAACATAATCAAATCGGCGAGGAGTCACTCCTCTCTCCTCACCCCCTTTAATCGTAAATCTATGGTGGCGCTGGTCATATTTATAGAGAATATTTAGTTTTTGTTACATTCTTGTTACGCTTATAATTGGTCAAAATCTTTTAAAGCTGTTCGTGTATAATATACTTATTGAATTTGAACGCTGCACGATCCGCTCGAGTCATCGAAAACGTTGAAAAAAGATTATAATATTTATTACGTTACGAAGTTCAATATTTTGCATAAAAAAGAAAAAATCATTAAGTAACAATGTTTGTATCGTAAATAGAACATTACAGCGAAATATATTATTGTTATCATTATACACACAAGTACATCTTGTGTGCGTGTGTGCTTACAAGCGTATACACTCGTCCACGAATATGTATAACCATAGTGTATGTGTGTACGTTCATATAATTTTTTTTTTTATTAGTTTATTTTATTCTTTACGCATCTATCTGGCTGTAATATGTGTGCGACGTCGCTCACTTGAGTAGTTTTATTAACGCACTGTTCAGAAATTTACTACGCTAAGACGTTCCACCAACGCGCAACGCCTAAGTATAAAAATAATAATAAAAAAAAAAAAAACATAACACGATGATTTACATAATTGCAAATGTAGCACGAATATTAGCTGCGAACGCTCAACGCAGTATCACACGAGTTATATGCGTCGTTAATAAAACGCATTAAAAAACTGCAATGACGTGTATCCAGGGGTTGAGAGGTAGGTTTATTAAGAGACGTGCCATCAAATGGTTTTGATATATTATGCGGCGTATGAGATAAATAAACTGTACAAGTAAAACGTATAATTTTGGTTCAATAAAGCATTTTTTTGTGATTAATTATACATCGAAACCGTGCACCTGTACAGATATGTCGTTCAATGAAAGAAAACGATAGAAAAATGGTACATCGATGCGCGGTACTTGATTACTGAACAAGATACGAAACCGTCAAATTAACAATTGTTCAACAATCCTAGTTGAATTATTCGTCCGCGTATACGAGTAGCACAACGATTTGTTTTCTGGAGCGGTTATAACTAGAATAGTTTCGCAGAAAAATGCTTACAGTTTTAACCGAAAATCCTGAAGTGGAAAGGTGGATGTGGTATTTATCTCAAAAACACTTGACGCATCAATACAGTTAATTGCCAATATTTGGTTTCGCTGCAGCACTTGAAATCGGGTGAAAACGAAGCACGAAATAGACTCTTAAAGTTTGAATCAGTAGTTCCAAAGTTAGGATGCCGGAGATGGTAGTTAGCTGGCTCGGCCATCAGTGTTCGATGAGGAACTAACTGTTACTGGCGTATCGCATACAAATAAAACTTGCGGTGGAATAACTGCGTATTGAGTTGAAAAAAATAAAATCGATTTGGACCGTATGATAGGGTTAAAAATATAATCGTATCCCTACACCACAGAAACCTTAGTACTTCACGTAGCCGTTGAGACATAAACGACCATAAAATATGATGCATGCTCACGATAAACGAAGCACTATATCGATATGATATATTACGCGTGGCAACGTAGAAATGTGCGGGAAACGAAAATACTGCAGTGGTGTGCTTTTCTCGTGAGTGATGCGTTGCGCGATATAAACTATTGTAAATGATAATTTATTTTCGATAAATTTCATCAACGATCCCTCTCACAGTGTAGCGGTGGTACGACATCAAAATTTTATGTGTTCGAGCGGTGTTTTCTTTATTAGTCTGACCAATTCAATACCATGTGTTTACGGCAAATACCTTAAACGGTCGAGGGAGTGTCGAAAAAAAAAATATATACACATACGCTCACCAAAACTCGAGTTTATGTTATGTACACAAACCATATATATGTGTACATAAGTATAGTGTAATATCATCAACGACGACTTCAAAAAGTAAACAACTCTGATCGTCGACGATACTCCCCCCTATCACGCAGATGATTCTCTTTTTAATAAAGTGATCCAATATTACGTTCATAATAATACAGTCACATGAGTTGGTGTACAGAGATATCTATTCGTAATGTTAACTCTACCGTCGTCGAATATTCGACCTTTTCCTACGACGTGCAAACGATTCAGCTTTCTCGTGCACGAGTTAATACGGATGGCTTTATAGTACCTAGTTTTTCCGCACATCAATAATTGTCAAAACAATACATTCGCGCGTTTATTTTGGCTCTTGCAACACGATTTAAGACATTAAGGTATAGGTATCGTTGTGCTGTTCGTTGTTCTAACGTCGAGATAACAAACACGATAACGTTTTAGCTAAATACCATTAACATGATTTATGATTGTGCATTACGTTCGTTTAGTGAAAACCGCGATGAAACTGTCGACGTATTTTCTATTACGGTTTAAATAATACCGAGACAAACTTTTGAAGTTTTTGGGCGAAAATATGATTAACGGTCGACGTTCATCGTCGGGCCCTACGAGTTACAGATCGAAACGTAAACGTACACGAAACGCAATTTGTCGTTAAAAAGTACATTCGAAAATAAAAGAACGCAATCGGATAGATTAAATGAAATATAAATTTGGGTTAATAAACGAATAAACAAAACAGCGGCTGTTGCGAATAAAACTTTATTTTTGTGCTATACGAATAATAATACGTTTATGCGTCGTATGTTCTGCAGAGTAATAATAAGAATAATAATAATAATAATAATAATAATAATAGTAATAGTAATGTCGAATTCTGTGGGAAGCAGACAAACGATGCACTGTAAAAATATATAATATAATATCGCATGTTTTGATGCATGTCATAGATTGCAGAACACGCCACGGTTTTTTATGTCAAAGCATGATGTAAAAACGCCGAATGAGTTTCACTCAACTCTCCTAAGACCTTAGCGTGTGCATTTTAAAGTTTAGCCCTGTTGCATGCATTACATTGTACTATTATACTTGAACGTAAACCTCACAGTAATGTATTACGATTACATTTTATGTATATTTACCTACGTAAACGAATATTAGTAATATTTAGTTAGTACGTAGTAAAATTATTTACTATTAATGGTCGGATATATCAATGCTCTTGGTAAGACCTTGGTAATTTATATATTATTCGAATTCCAACGATGATGATTACTATTTTACTATACACCCATCACGTTACGTAACTTTTACTGTCTCTCGCAGTTATGATTTCGTAGACGATTCCAATACAACCATGTTTTGTACACAATTTTTGTAACGATATTCATTCGTAATGATTGTAAATATATTTTATTTGATGGTAATTTTCTAGAATACAAAAAAATTCTACACAGACCGATCAACGTAATGATACTTTTTCTGTTTTACACAATTTGTAATAATATCATACACTTTCAATTCATAAACTTTATTGTTATTTTGACCGTTTATTGAGACCCGAATTGACAAGATCGCGTTACTCACACATTCCTTCAATCAAACTATAATACTATTACCAAGAACGTTTGATTTTATTTGATCCGCCCGTGTTGTTCTCGTGATACTCATTTGCCGTTTACGGGTGCGTTTTACAGGACTTTACGCTGGACTTTTACTTCAGACAATTTTGGACGGATCCCCGGTTAGCGTTCACCAAGAGACCAGGGGTCGAGACTCTGTCTGTGGGATCGGAATTCATCAAGAACATATGGGTGCCCGATACGTTCTTCGTCAACGAGAAACAGTCGTATTTCCACATAGCGACCACGAGCAATGAATTTATCAGGATACACCATTCGGGAAGTATAACACGAAGTATTCGGTAAGTATCGGTTTACAACAACAGTAATTACATTTGCATTCGGCTGATTGTGCCTTTTTTATTTTCACAGATTGACAATTACCGCGTCGTGCCCTATGAACTTACAGTATTTTCCGATGGACCGACAGTTGTGCCACATCGAAATAGAGAGTTGTAAGCAAACATTTCATCTTTAAAATTACGGATCGTAGATAGTATAATATTGATCTTTAACGTACAAACTTGACGCGATAGAATACCGAATGCATCAATATAGCTCAATGATGGGGTAAATATAGATCCAAAACGAGAAATTTTCCGTGTCAAACATTAAAGGGGTGGTGGGTGCATCCTATTACATCGAATAAGTCTGTCATGTAATTCATTTTTTCTAACGATGAGTAACAAATTTAATATCTATTGTTAATCAATGTCTAATATGAATATAATATAAGTGTTGTAAACTAGGCCAGTTGTCCAGTTATTACTTGCTTCTAAAATTGAAGATGTTCTCTTTAATATAAATAAAGAGACATTATTATGATAATTTTTAAAGAGAAGGTGGGTACGAAAAATGCATGTCTGCCTCTTGCAAATAAACCTGTCACAACGCCACTGATTTAGCAATAGCTGGTATGAACGTAATAACTCTTGAGAATTACAAAATTACGTAAACAAGTGTAGAATATGTTATTTTGTTCACGGCCCGTGTTCTCGTCCATCTATTGCTGTGTGGAATAAAATTAAAATATTTTCACCCGTTTTCAGTTGGTTACACGATGAGAGACATTCGATATAAATGGAACAAGGGACCAAATTCAGTGGGTGTTTCGAACGAAGTATCTTTACCACAATTCAAAGTACTCGGACATCGTCAAAGGGCGATGGAAATAAGTTTGACAACAGGTAACAATAGTAAATAGTAGTATTACACCGAAAATGACGAGTCAGTGTTACAGCCGATGCAATAGTAATAACACCGTATATCTTTTTCGCAGGGAACTACTCGAGATTGGCTTGCGAAATCCAGTTCGTCCGATCAATGGGTTACTACTTGATCCAAATCTATATACCCAGCGGGCTAATCGTGATCATATCGTGGGTAAGTTTTTGGCTGAACAGATGTGCTACACCCGCCCGAGTATCTTTGGGCGTCACTACCGTCTTGACGATGACCACACTCATGTCATCGACGAACGCCGCGTTGCCCAAGATATCTTACGTCAAGTCCATCGACGTGTACCTGGGCACATGTTTCGTGATGGTCTTCGCTTCGCTACTGGGTTAGTCAAATATAATATTATAATAATTATTATGTCAGCAACTAGGGTGTGCAGTTGAGCGTCTACGATCGCTTTTTCTAGTACGTCGTGTACTGTTATTAGTTTTACATAATTTCAATGCCAATTTACGTGTAATTCAAATCGTCTCTCAGTGGATTTGATCCATAGCGCATCGCGTACGGAAGGTTTTAACGCTATTTCCGTCCCATACGTTGACCCGGGAGAATTTTCCCAAAGGCACAACCTCTGCCAAGGGTAAGCCGTGGTCTCACCGTTCGTGGTGGCTTTTTTAGACTGCTGAGGGTAACTGTACTCTTTATTGCCTCGTTCCCTTCCACTTATTATAATGACAATTTTTCTCCCATTCCAATATTGATCAACCGCAATGCATTGCAACAATTTGATCTCAGAAATATGACACCCTATCAAGTAACATACACGGAAAGCAATAGTGTTGTTAAAAATGCCACAAGATATTCGATTGTAGCAGACCGTTAGTACCGTAACAATAATTATGTTTGATCGAAACTATTACTGGTCGTTGCTCAAACTGATCTTTTCACCCCTCCGCATTTTAAACGTGTTCTTTCATTCTGATCATGCATAGGCGAGCTAAACACCTAGTCAAAGCCGAATTATGGTCATAAGAGAAAGGTTATTACTTATGATGAGGCCCTTTGCAAGTTGAATAGTTATGGGTTGGTAATAAAGTATTCAAGCCCATTTTCGTATAACATAAATCTGAAAAAAAAAAAAAAACTATTCAACTATTTTGATTTATTCTGGCCCCTTTCAACTTGCGGACCCGGGCTATAGCTACCGAACCCCTCCCCTCATGCCCTTGCAGCACCATTCTCATTACGGATATACATTCGTTTAGACCACGGTTATCCACTCGGTTTACCAGCCAACCGTAGTTCGGACACGGTTAGTGTCCGCGACGTTTACCACCATACAGTTTCCCAAGCTGATTGGACTGCGCGCACATAATATCACCGACCTCGACTACGTTGTAACGTGTAACCATTTTGACATTAAAACATATTGACAATCGGATGGAGTGTCTAAAAACATACGATTCGGTTTTCGCAGAATATGCCACCGTGGGGTATATGGCCAAGAGGATACAAATGCGGAAGAACCGTTTCTTAGCTATACAGAAGATAGCCGAACAAAAGAAGGGCGGTGGCCACGCCGGGCACGATGGACACTCGCACTCCCACAGCCATCACTCACGTCATGGCCACGGTCACGGTTCAATATCAGGCCACAGTACACATTCAGGACACGGTACCCTGTCCGGACACGGTGCTCTATCGGGGCACGCCACCCTCTCGGGACACGGAACCCTTCCGCATGGACTATCTAGCCACGGGCTGTCTTCCCACGGGACTCTTTCCAGTCACGGATACGACAGCGGTGGTATTGGCGGAGGTCATCGGCACAGTCACATCGGTCACGGTGGCACATTGTCCGGCTCGTTGATGTCCGGCGATATGGATCACACGCCTAGGCAAACTGTGAGCGTCGCAAATATTTATATAACGCTATACGCTAACCCTTTTAAAAAAGCGAATCTCTAATGAGTTCACCCATTTTTGGCCCGTGTACATTAAACGTGTTCATTGAGTTTCATATAAATCAAATTTTTAAGCAATTTTATTTTAATCGGTAATCCTAAGGGGAAAATTTCATATCGGTTTGTATAATTTAAGAAAATGCTGTGAAAGTTTAATTTTCAAAATTGTCTTGATGGTTTGTCTGAATTTGATGAAAAAAAATTTTAACTCTTCGTTAAGCGCATGGTCTACAATTGTAAACCAGCTATAAATATTGACAATTTTAGTATTTATAAAAATTTTGTAGTGCCTTGTACTTTATAGTAGCTGTTGTTTATTTATACTACTGTGTGATCAGTATTATCGTGACCGTTGACGAGCGTTGTGTAACGAAACATATCAATAATATTCCGAGTGGTCTACAACTGTAGGCCACGCCACTTACTATGTTATATTTTTTTTATAAATTTGCAAAATTATTTATTTTTTTTTAACTGGATACAGTTGTATAATATATTATTATTATTAATATACCTATTGGGCCATGACATGTTATTTCATATAAACTATAAAATCCGTTAATTATACTTCATATCAATTTTATGGAATTGAGTTTACAAGAGGAAATAATTACTAAGAAAAATAAGCACTAAAACTCATATACACTATCATTTCCTATAAAGAAATTACAGTTATAATACCAATATTTATTCGACAATAACTGGTAAAAAAATATAAAAATACATTTTAATTTTGTTTCGGGTCTTTTGTAAACATGTCAATTTCAGATATTTATAGTTTCAGGCCAATTGGAAAGTAATTCAGTAACTAGTTTTAAAAATAAAAATGTCATGAATGAAATTATCATAATTTCACTACAAACAAGATAATTGTATTTTCTTCAAATATTTATGGATTATTTTTGATATTTCAATGTTCGAACAATTCTTTATATGCATATAAATACTCATATATATATATATACATTTTTAATATAAACAAAAATAATTAAAATAAATTTAATTTATCATAAATTAAAATGGTCTACAAATGTAGACCATGCGCCTAAATAAGTAACAATATACCCGCCCTAACGAAGGGTTAAATCGATTTAAAATTAAAAATTGAAATAACATTTACATTGTTACTAAAATACAAGTGTTTTCTGAATCCAAATCGTTTTCAATGTGTACATATACACAGTAATTTATAAATATGATTCTATTCAAGTTGAATTTAAAATCAAATTAACTGTTTATATTCGCATATCATGTCACAAAAAGTAGATCAATAAAATGAATAATTTGTTTAAGTAGGTATTTGTAAATGATTGATTTTTCTGTGAAGCAGTGACACCGTCTTCTTTGTAAATTGTAATAAAACATTGATATTTTCTGATACAGATAATTTTCGAATCAACCAATCTTAAACATATTTATGTGACTCAGACATTCTATAAAAAAATTAGGAATCTCTAAAGCACACGGTGCACAGTGAAACGTATGGGTTGGACGAGATCAACTGGGGTATATGACGACATTTTGTTGTTTAGAAAAATATTAATTTCCTCTATAATTCGATCGCCAACACCAAGGAAATCAGTGTCATTCCACACAAGTTCTCCCTGCTTTAATTGGGAGTTCCGTCCCAAACCAACCGATTGTGTCTCGTCGGAAACACATACCGCAACCATTGTATACCTTGTCGTTCGTCCCGATCCGTATGTGTCCTCGCGGTGCCCCTTGTAAGTGATTCCCGTTTGTTCCAGGAGGTACGGTTCAAGGCCCACGATCCGAAGAACTATCTGAAAGGCGGATCTCTGGAGAACACGATCAACGGCCGAGGAGACGATGACAATATTACTCCGATCCCTACGCAGCACGTTATGCATCCCAACAAAGACATCAACAAATTGTACGGGATCACGCCCAGTGATATCGACAAGTATTCGAGAATCGTGTTCCCGGTGTGTTTTATTTGCTTTAACCTCATGTACTGGATCATATACTTGCACATCAGCGACGTGGTCGCCGACGATCTGGTGCTGCTGGGAGCGGATTAAACACTACGTGACGCAGTGTACCGCAACCGAGGTATTGTGTATATATGACTCATAGGTATACATCATATATACACGTATATGCCATTAGTGTATATATCACGGTCCGACAAATCCCTCGGATAACATCGCTGACCAATGTCAAAGTGATTACTATGCAATTAAATTTGTACTTAGATTTAGTAAGAGCTCAACGAAAGAAAAAATCCATAAGTAGTATTAACGCAATTATTATGATATGTATGTAATGTTTATATATATATATATATTAAAAGAATATTATTATGTATAATATTATTAAATTATATACTTTGATGACGTATTAATTAAGTATAGACAGGATCTAACACCTGCAGGGTTTTTCACAGATTCTCATAGAGCTAGAATATATGTTTAAAATTATTAAAATAATATTTATTTAATATTATCAATAATAGATCATGTATACTCGATAAACATTTCAACAGCCATGGTGTTAAAACAGTTTCACCCTTCTAGTACAATGATAATATTCCTCTAACTGTATCAGTTGAGTCAAGTTTAAAAAAAAAAACCCACGGAACGTCCATTGCATTTACTATAAACTATGCAGTTTGCCTATAAAAATCGAATTTTTTATTGTTCAAATACGATTTAAGTACTTCAAGTTATGTTATTATACAGTTAGCCGAAAACTTAGCGTATCCGAAAAAAAAAATTACTAACGATATTTCAATTAAAAATTAAAAACAAATTATAGACCGAAAACTATTTTTTTGCTACAAGCAAAATGTTTATAATATCATAAAACTTATAATATTATAAATATTTTGAAAATAACGTACTAGACTTAAATTTGTTAAAATCATTGTAAATTAAGAATTATATAAATTAAATTTTACGTTAATGACAATACTTTTAGTGTTTTCCATATAATTATAATTTAGCTCACTATAAGAAGTAAATAATATGATTATACGGTTTTCTATTAATAATACATATTTCTAAAATATGAAAAATATTTAATATAAAAAAAAAATGTGGTAATATTTGATTAAAAGTTGAAATCAAAAATAAATCAAAATCTATAATGATTGCCATATAGATAATGTAATTTCCAAAAAAATTATATCAAAAAAAAAAAAAAAAAAATGAATAAATTTATCTCAAGTCATAGTATATTATTTTCACCGTTTGATTTATCATTAAAAAAAAAAATCTTGAAATGTTTACAACGACGTGGCCGTCGTTTGCCATGAAATCTGTTTATTTGGTTGTGAACTGATAAATATCTATTTAACTAAATATAAACTTATGTAAGTGTACACTGTATACATAAATTGATGAGTTACATAGTAATATGTACTATGTAAAGAAGTTGAATTGTCCAAGTTAAAGTTACAAAAAATAAAATAGATTCCGCAAAGAGACATGGGATAATCTTGTAAATTATTATATTTTGTAACACGCATATTGATCTTTGGACGATTTTTTATTTATGTTTATATACATATTAATATTTATATATATTTATATTTATATATATTTATGTATGTAATTGAGAAGTATCTGCAACTATTCATAATTACTAATTTAATATGTTTATTTAATATTAGGACTGAAATCATTATAAAAATATAAAAATTAAAGCAATTTATAAATTATTAAGTCAACTATTTGTAGCATTTTATACTGAAAATATATCAAATATATGCCATGTATACATATATAATATACTTGACCGTAGTTTTTAATTAGGGTAATAGTTTTGCCAGTGAATAGCTCATAATTACTATGGCATTTAGGATATATATATACATAATTTATGAATTAAGAAAAAATATAATGAGTTATTATTATAAAATAATTTATTAGTCATAAAAATCGAAATTTGTTACAGATTTTAAAAGTAAAGTACCTACTGTTAATATTATTATTTAGACGTGGCCATTTTAATTTTTGAAAATTATTTTTATAAATGGCAAATTATATAATTTATCCTTGAGTAAAAACTATAGTAATACATATAAGAGAATATGTTAATACATACATACATGCTATATATATATATATATATATATATATATATATATATATATATGTGTGTGTGTGTAACTATGTATGTATGTATTAACTTAGTGTAATAAAAAGTATGATATGGAATGACATATTTTAATATATATGTATACATATAGACAAACCATCATAACAATATGAATACTTTTTTTTTACAATAATATTAAACGTAGAAAATTTAAACGAGTCGTACGACGATTATATTAACATAGCAATTGTGCATGCTTAGTGATCTAAACTGATATTTTTTCTCCGCAAATAAAGTCAATGCGAAAACTTTAAGAAAATCTGCTGCAGTACTAATATTATTGTTGTAATAAAAGTGCATTCCAAACATTTTTATTTTCAAATACAATGTTAAACGATAGTCAAACATTTAAGAAAATATCCGACCTTGGAGACTGCATCCGGAATAGATGCATGTGGTACGACTCGTGTAAATAACTTTCTGGAGTTGAAATCACAATGATTTCAAAACGTGCTAGAATCGGTTGAGTTCTATAATAATAACTATGATAATAATAATAATAATAATAATAATAATAACAATAATAATATAAATAATAATAATATTAATTATAATAACTATGTTAATAATAATAATTATAATTACTATGTTGATAATAATAAAAAAAAATTTAATAATTTAGATATGACGGAAACTTAAAAAGGGTGTTTAATAAAAAAAAAAAAAGTTGCTTTAAAATGATAAACGAACGTGGGGCCCCGGCAACGACGCGAGACATTAATTCGATAAGCGAATTCCGAAATACAAAAAAAAAAAAATACCTAATTCGTCTATAACATTTCGTTTCGGTTCGAACGAAAGAACGCTGTTGGATCGAATAAAAAAAACGTTCGAATCAAACACGAATCGATGCGTCATCAAAAAATCCGTGATGTTAGTGTTCAATTATTTCCGCCGTTTAGAACGCGAGTGCCCCCAGCTCCGTATCGGTGTTCGATTAGACGTAGGAACCTAGCGTTCCGGTTTCGAACGAAACGACTAGGCGGTTCGGTAGTGAAAATTGCGGTTTGGAAGCGCACGCCGCCGTTTTAAGTCGCGATTCGGCAGAGCACCGTCGTGAAAGCGTGTTCGCTATGAACCGAACGGTATCGTTACCGGCGGGGTGCGCGGGTGAGCGATCGGAAATCGGTTTCAATGGTGGGCGGGCGAAACGCGTTTACCGACGCGAAACCGGGTCGCGTTTCTCACGGGGAGAAACGTTGACCCGCGAGGGACGATCCGTTTTTACGGGACGGCGTCGGAACGCGTTAACCGAAAACCAATTACAACGGTCCAGGACCAATCGTTACCTCGAAATGCGTTGGTCGCCGCGTCCGCGAATCGCATCGTTTTTCCCCCAGCCGAATCTCAGTCGTTCCGTCCGTCGCGCAGGTAGCGGTTTCTTCCCCCCCCCCTCGGGTGATAAAGCAGCGTCGGGACGCCGACGCGAGCACCCCATCCACGTTCTTGTCTCGCGCCCGGGTGCCACTTAAGTGCGTACGCGCGACGGCTAATCGACGGCCCGGACTTGCCGTTTGACCGACATACGTATTCGTAAATATAAATTTATATTTTTCAATATCGTATATTTATGCGTATGTATGTTTACGATTAATTATTTAACAATTTGTTTTGTTTTTTTTTTTTTTTTTCAAAGCACCTTCAGATTGTGATTCGCACATTTTAAACGATAATACAATTTGACTTCCTTAGTGTTTAAAAAAACGGTAGTGCGTTGTTATTAAATAATAATACCAATAATAATACGAATATGAATTATTATAAAAAAAAAAAAAAATAAATAAAATAAAAATGTGTATAAATGTGAAACTACCGTCGTATATTCTAAATCTCGTTAGGTAATATTAAAACTGTTATTATTTTAAGTTTTCGTAGTCTATTGTAAGACCGTTATTCGTTTGCGTTTGTAACGTTGTAATAATAATTATATTAGTATATTATTACGAACAAAACCATATATATGTTTCCCCTTATTTACGTCAATAATAATTTATAAAATAAATAGTATATATATATATATATATATATATATATATATAAATATATATATTATGTTATTATCATGTGATTATATTATGTTTTTTTTTTTATGCTTCCATTTCTTTTCTTTGTAATATTATTATTATTATTATTATTATATACGTCGATTAAGTTACAATAAATATAATTAAATACTCGATTGAAGTGTATGATAAATTATAGTTTACTGAATCTCAATACGCTCAATAAATAAGGTGAAGCAAATACAAGTGTTTTTTTTTTTTGTGTACCTATATTCTCGTTTATTTATAGAGTCGAATATTTCTGAGAACTTTGTTATTTTGAAAATATTTAAATAAACTTGTGTTTCAATACTAAAAATTAGTTTGATTTTTTTTTCGATATAAAATGTACATCGTATGTATGTCTCCTCGTTATAGCATTAATACCCATTTCGATGTGATTAAATGTAACTGATCTAAGTCCATGTGCATAGGCGTAAACTAGGGGTGGGAGCAAGGGAGGAAATTTGCACCCTAAAAAAAATAAGGAGGATCAGTTCCCCCTCTGATATTTAACATACCTTGTTTTAAGATAAGTGCAAAACAGCTGGTTACAGCTATTAACATAACATTTTTTTTTTAAATCTTAATTTTAAATTTTCGCTTATCTAACATAATGTTAGAAAATGTCAGAAATTTTATATTATTATATTAACACCCATACCCATGTATGTAGAATTTAATCGATTACAACAGCTTCTGTTATATTAATTTTCAGTACCTCAAAATGTATTAGTCAGTCTCATATTTAAATCGACAATATATCTGTTTATTTGAAAAGTACAAGAAATACCTGATAAGATTATAAAAGGTATCCTAAAATGAGTATTAATCAAAATTTGTTTAACAGAAAACAGTCGATAAACAGAAGCAGTTTCTGTTTGAATACCTCTAAAAGTTATTCGTAGCTTATTGAATTCGAATATTAATTGTTATACAATTAAAAAATTAATTTAATTTTTAAATAGAATAAAAATGTGTATCATTTCAAATGGTTGATTTCAGTTCAAACAGAATTATTAGAAAAGAATACGGTTTCGTATTTTGTATACCAATAAAACGTCATTACACGAGTAACTGAGTTTACTAGAGTTAATTGGATTAGATTACCGAACTAATTTTAAAATAAACGACGGTGAGTCGTCAAAGGTTTATGGTACAACCACAAGACTTAATATGGTTTCAGTCAGGAGCGTACTCAGGAATTTTTTGGAGAGGGGTCCAACATTTTTATTTTATCTGTTCTCTAACTATAATTATAGTTAAACTCAATATCAACAAATTACTGTTAATATACTATAGTATGGTTTATACATAATAGATATACTACATAATCTATATACTTTGTATATTGAAGATAATGGGAAATTAAAATACACTATATATTATTATTATATTATTTACTATTAAATCGTTGAGTATGTAGAAATTTCAATGGGGGGTCCGGATCCTAAACCCTCCCCCTGGTTTCATTTAGCGAATTATTAGTAAGATAACTTAATATTAATTTTTATCGATGAACTCTATACAATATCCGTCCCCTACTATAAACGCTTTTACGGTTTAATGAAAATACCCGTAGTGTTATCGAAGTTTGATGTACTTTGTACATGTAGTATATTCATACCGAAATA